TAAAGGTCTGAGACAGCTATGGATTTCGCGAAGAATTTCCAGTGTGATCTTTTGTTAACGGACAGGCCTTTTTTTCTTAGTTACCACAATAATCTGAATATGCTGTCACTTAATCCCGGGCCTTACAAATACGTCTTCTCCCTGTTTATTTGCAGTTGCTGACCAAACGTTTCCACTGTTGAGGCTAGACATCTTGATGCATGTTCTACTAAAGCTTGGCTCCAAGTCATTCAGCCATTCGTTTAGTGCTCTGAGCAAGTAAGAAAGCTCTAAAGCTTAAGTCTGTCCTGCATGAAGTGAGGTAACGTAAGCTAAATATCTGTCTTCGATGCTGTTAAGTCTAATTACTAGCCTGGCTGCAACCATCCTTATTCATGTCATTGTAAACCGGGATTGTAAACGTGTTCGGTAGCTTATTATTCATAGAAAAATATATGGAACTGCTGGTAGTTATAGACTGTTAACAGTCAGTTTATTTTGTAAAACTGTAAAATGGCTGCTCATTGTACTGTGGGTTGGTACATTGATAGAGATTTCTTTTAACTGCCTTTGTAACGGTTTTTAAGCGTGTAGCTCTCATTTTGGTTGAGGTTAAAAACTTCTGTTTTTGTCCTTTTTGAACATTTTTCAGGTTCCATAAACTTCTTAAGGACATTATTGTGAACGAAGAAGCTCAGATCCATTGCCTGAAGATTGTAGAAGAGTTTTGGTCAACCCACCCACAGGTTTGTGTCAGGTTGTTTTTTAGATTATTACGTTACATAGCTGAAAGACAGGAAGGCTGAGTATGGCCAATTTTGTGGTTTTGTGTGGCTTATGACTTTAGCGCACGATCTTGGTTTGTTATATTCACTTTAAAACATGTAAAAAGTAATTTAGCTTTAATGCTCAGTAGATTGTTGCACTCAATAGCACCTTTTTTCCCTTTTGTTCCAAACTGAAACTGCTTTAACTGAGGTAATGCTTCTTTGTCACTTTTTTAGCGTACTTAATTATTTTATTCTTAGTTTTTTGACATAGTTAACATTCTACAAGCTGCTCAACTCGGTATAACGTTTTCTCTGTATTATTGTTTGGTGTTATGAACCGATTGGGGTTACAGTTGAACTTCTCCTTACGGACACTTCCATAATAGAGAAATATCTGTAGAAAGGGCATTTCTTTGGTTCCCAAAAATATGTACAATTTTACTTCCACAAACTCGAAAATATTGACATCTTTGTAATATGGACCCCTGGCTGTGTCTCTTTGGTGTCCGTACTGAGGAAGTTTGACTGTATTTTCAATAACTTTTCTTTTGAAACATGTCTTCTTTCCTCCTCAGTCCATAGTGGTGTTGGTAGATAAGATGGTACGCATGCAGATCATTGATTGCTCAGCAGTTGTTAACTGGCTTTTCTCCAAGGACATGAAAGATAACTTTACCAAGTATGTATGCGGGAGCCTGGACGAAACTCCTATAAAGTCAGATTTGGATCGGGATAATGTGTTTTCATAAGTTCAAGGCAATTTGCACTCAGTTATTTAACATGCAAAGCTTTAACGAAGATAATGTAAAACCTTCATTCTAAAATCGGCCTTGTTCTTGAGGAGATAATTATATGCTTTCAGAAGAGGTTTGGTATGACTTAGTTTCCAGGTGCTCCTTCTTTCGTCTTTAAGTTCTTTCCGATGATTTGCCCTGTAGTATCCGTGTATTCTTTCAACACAAAGGCAATTCCTATTCAGATATTGCTCTACAGTTGTATAATCGACCACCCATTAACTTTTAATACCATTTTAGTTTTATAGGAGTATTTTCATTGTGGTTCTTTTTAAGTACGCCGACGTTTTATCTTGATATCTTGCAGTGCTTCCCTTTTTCAGTCAAAGTAGTTGAAGCCTCTTGTTTATCTCTTGTTTCTTTGATTTCGTATTCTAGACTGTATGTCTGGGAGATAATGACCAGTACTTTAAAGAAAATGAGCAAACACACTAACAAGGTATTTAAGATTATGAGTGCAGGCATATAGTTACACGCTTTCCGACACACGTTACAAAAACAGGTCAATCATCCTATCGTCTCTACATTTGGTTAACTTTATATTTCAGCGTGTCGATGTCCTACAGGGGTCAGTTTAAGGCTAAGTTCACACTATACGGGATAAAAGCTATCCGTTATTGAACTCCTATCTGATATTTGACTTTCCACTTTAGAGATCGGCGCGGCGCGGTGTCGCTTCCTTGCAGAAACTGCGCCGAAATCACTGTCCTTTCGCAGTAGTCCAGTACCTCACAAGAACCTCTAATTTAAGTGGTCGTCTAAAACAATATTCCCTTTTGCGTTGAGGGTTAGGGTTATTGTTTGTGTGGTTATCTTATTGTTTTCACAGCCAATAGTGTGAGCCGTTCAGTCTAATTCTAATTCTTATCGTATAACCTGCAAAGGGTATATCCCATCACGGCAGATGTAGAAACTATACGGTTAAGTGTGAACATAGCCTTAGAAAACTTTTACAAGTGTAATTTGCAAGTGTAATTAAACCCTAAAACAATAGCTGTACTTGCATATTACATATGTAGGAGTTTTGTTGAATTGACCTCAGCTCACCAGTCTACGTCATCTTCATTTGCTCCTTCCTTCCAGTTAGATGGAGTTATCTTCATATTAGGTGGCTCGATCCGTTTTTTCAGTGACAACTCGTACTCTCTTTAATTTAAACAAACAAAATGGGAAAATTGAATTGTACCTGCTTGAAGGGCATAGGTTTGAGTTTCTAAAAAGGTCCGTTTTTTGAGATCGAGGTATCTATTGCACACGGTGACGTTATCGCTTTTTCTACATTTCCTCAATTTGTGAGGAATTTAGGCATTCCGGCGTTTTTGAAGCTCCTTATAGGGCTTGAAGTTCATGTAACTGTCTTGCATGTTTTGTAACGATTTTATGAGAGAATTTTCGAGAAATTGTAAAACGGATCATAAACAACGGCTTTTCCCGTTCAACCTACAGACTATAACCTTTGGTCTCAGGTTATTCTCAGAGTTTTCTGTTATCCAGCGAAGAACTAAAAGAAATCACTCCACCTAATCACCTAATAATGTTAAGGTGACTAAAAGTTATACTCCCCTTTTTCATAAATTACCTTGCTGTGTGCTACCAAGGTAATAAAAACATAACTATAAATGGATTTACGTGAAACTCTGTTGGCCTTTCACTGTTGCTGGCGGGTTTTTTTTCTCACATTAGGCTATTGCTATTTTTTATCAGTACACGTGCGGATTCTAATCAGTACTTCTTGCATTTCGCTGATCGCTTGATGGCCCTGGGAGAATATTCACGAATTTGCTAGTGTTATGCAGTGACAATGGAACTGATCACTGATCAAACAGCGAGTGTAACTGACCTGACATATTAGCATAGTATGGTGGTTTTCCGAGGGCCTTCAAGCGATATTGGAATTCGCACGTGAATAATAAATTAAACACTTTTATGTGACAAACAAACCAGCCAGCAAATGCCAGCCACAAATTCATCCACGTTTTGGCTCGGAACAACAACCTCTAGTAACTTGACTTTATTTCAGCATGCTGCACACCTAAAAGTCTTTCAAAGCACTTGAAATTGTAGCTCATGTAACTAACAACATTATCCAAAGGCTGTCGGTGTTTCACGTGAATCCATCTGTCAGATTAAGTTTCTCACAAATTTGGGAAATGTGAATAAGTCAATGGCGTCACCAAGTTGGCTATTGTGGAAACTCTCCATTTACTGCTATATTTGAGGTACCTTTGCATCTCATGTTCAGAGAAAGTTGGTGTTGTCACTGAAAAGCCGGGTGGAGCTATCTTAACCAGCTAACCAGCTGTACATCACATTATAATCATCCCCCTATCATCATAACGAAGCACTTCTTTTCCACCAATTCTGTTAGATCCCTTGCCTAGTCCCTGTACGGTGTTTTCCCAGTCCCTCTCGGTCAATTCGTTTCGGTGACGTATCCGAGGCGAACGGGCGGGAAACGCCTAGACAAAAACAGAATGCGCATGCGTGCGTTACTTTTTGAAATTCAAAGATGATGTTAATCTAGATGTTGTGAGCAGCAAGCAAGCAGGCAGCAGGAGATTTTGGTTATTAACCACTCTTGTGGATATTTGTAGGATCGACTTTTGCCGACCGGCTTTGAAAAGTCGTCAGAATGTTATTCATAGTCCTATGAAGATTTATACTGCTCCTTCAATCTCATCATTCCAACTGGGCTATCGGAGTTTGCCGCTCGCGAATTTTCAAAGTAAACACAATATTGACCCGTGTGCCACCCGCGTGTTGTAAACTTAGACCTCAAATCTTGAATAATTAGAAAAACCATAGTTTCAAATAAAAGTCATTAGCTGCGTATCAAAAAGTGCTCAGAAACTGAATCTAAAAGTAAAAATCCTATAAAATTCGCCGACATCCACAGAAGTGATGTGTGTATTATAAATGTGAGAAGCATTGAATTCAACTTGCATGCGTTGTCTCAGGATCGTGTTTTGAGCAAATGTTAATCAATGAAAGAACACAATAGACAGAGAAATTATTTCTCGAAACTTTTTATTCAAAGGCCCATAAATTAATCCTTAAAAGCAATTCGCGTGACACAAATTTGGCTCGTGGATCCGTTCACGCAGGTAAAATCGGCTGAGCACATGGCAAAATTATTCAACACAAATCTCAAATCAGGGCGCTCAAGCCGATCTCAAAATGTATAAAACGTTAAAGATAAAATATTCACAAATGCGTAATTTTCTTGACTACAGAGTACAAAATGTACCTGAAAATTCTTCAAAAACTTCGCTGCTTGGTGGCGTTTCAAAACAAGCAAAGCGCTCCGATCGGCCGTGATAAAAATTCCGTGTATTTTAAATTCCTCCAAGGACAATTGTATAAAGCAGAAAAAGCCTTCCTTTGTCAACTTGAAGAAAACTAAGGATTCTTGTGAAGATTCCTTTCCCATCTGTGTGTTTTAGCAATGTATTTTTAACTTTGAAATTCGAAACACTGGTCTTGTTTACCATTGCCATTGAGCTGTCTCACTTTTGTCTCACTTTTGAGGATTTTTGTCTAGGCCTCACATTTTCGCATGGACCACATGACCCGAAACGCTTTGGCCGCGAGGAAAAATGAGGCCTAGGGACTAGGCAATTAGATCCTCATGTACTTATAATGTACCATCTATTTATAATTTTTGTCAGTCTCCACCTACAGTCGAACCTGTATGAAGCGGTCACCCTCGGAGAATGGCTAAGTGACCGCCTAATACAGGTTGCAAGAAATACGGTTCAAAGAATTAGATCTCCAGTGATGATCAGATCAGACGTTTGACCTCAAATAGAAACATTCATTTCCGGCGTTTTAATGGTTTGCGAAAATAAACAAGGAAATCAATTGTTGTACCTCGTGTGTTACATTATTTGAAACTCTATGAACAAGTAATTGACACCGTGTGACCGTTTAATACAGGTCAAGACAATAGAAAAAGTCCCGTTGGGACGTCGCAAATGGTGAACGCGACCGCTTACTAGAGGTCGAAATTACAATACATCAAGGGAAGTAATTTTCGGGACTTTGAAAACTGACCGCTTAATACAGGTTCGACTGTACTCCATTTTTTACTACCCCAAATTCATTGCCTTCACCCTCTTCACCACCTTAATTATATCTATCACCTCACAAACCCCATAACCTCTATTGGCGGCACCTCTATGATATCATCCACCCATTCCACCATCTCAGTTTACTTGATCAAACACACCGTTTTCATTTCTAACACAGCTTTCCATTATGTCCTTAGCCTTCTTCATCATCGCTCCACCGTTTAATGTAAATATCTGTCTTTTGCAGTTATCTGCGTTTCCATAGTAGGTCCTTCGGTTGGTGCAGTTTAATAACCATTCGTCCACTTAATTGATCGTTAATTTAGTCCAAAAAGCGTTGGGTTAAACTCAAAAGTGTTAGTCCTTTTAGCGTTTACAGGAATGTGTACCGTTATTTTTTAATCACCTTAAAGGAGGCCTTACGACAAGACAAGACAATAGAGAGCTTTAGATTCGAGTACGACGACGACATTTGTTTTCTCGCCTATTCTCTAAAAATAGACACACCGGAAAGCTTCATTGTACTTTTTTTCACCACAAAAGTTAGTACGATTATTTCCGTTGAAGGAGGTGAAGCCCTCTCCCGATCGCTAAATGATAGAATTCCTAACATTTGATAACTTGTTTTCGCCACTACGACATTTTCGCTAAAACTCGTAGTAGAGTGACGATGGTTATCACATTTTCCCGCCAACATGACGCTGGTTCCCACACGCGCACTGCTTAGTATTGAGAAAATTTCGCTCTCATTATCGTCCTCGTCTTAGAATCTAGAGAAAACATCCATTGGAGAAAAAATTTTGTACCATCTAGACCTCCCATTGAGAATGCGATATGGTATATTGTCAATTAACTGCAAAAATAAGAATAATTTATTTTACAGGTAAAATGAATCGTAAAGTGATTTCAGTCATCCTTATTCCAGTTTTTGTTGCTGTGTATAAATGCATCAATAAATTAATTTTTAATGTCTAAACTAATTACTCAAAAACAGTGTCAGAAGAGCGCGTCTTGTCTTCTAATCCTCGACATCACATTACATCACAAAATGCTTCCTGATATCATGTTTCTATATTGCTAGCTTCCTCGTATTTGGGAAATACGATCTTTCACTAAGCAATACTGGAAATGCAACTTTGCGCTAATAGTGTATGTCAATCGCTTTTTTCTCAAATCTGAGGAATGGCTCGATAGAATTCACCACACGTAACGTTTGCCATATGTGAAAGTTTGCGTTTCATTTCAAGATCAAACTCCAAAAAGAGAGTTGAAAATAAGAAGCACAGCGGAGTATTTTTAAGGAACTTCGAGGTGTTTGATATTGTTATGAAATACTGTGTTGTTATATTACTTCAAAAACAATTTTGGAAGGACAAATGAATGATGGAAAAATGAGTTTTTCTTCTACTGATAGAGCTCCAATGAATAGTTTTCAACCATGTGATTTCTGAGATTACCGTCTCATGTCGCTCATTTGTCTTGCCGGTCTCACCAATTGAAGTGGCCCGACCCTTATTGCAAACCCCAATTCAGTTTGCAGGTATTCATGATTGCCCCTTTCCCCCTGGGTGAGGTGCGAACTTCGCTCAGAACTTTTTTTGTAGTCATGAATAAAGACGCTCGACAGTTCTATCTGAGCTCTGATCCAAGGTAGCTTTTAACCCCAGTACCTATTCTTCAATTTTCGGAATTAAGATGTGTTTTCATTGAACATGGCCCTTGCACGATTTCATCAACTTTTGACATGAATCGTTTGCCGAAAATCCGTGCACATCGCTGAAAAATTTGCCTTAAAACCAGTCAAGTATTAGCTTTTCCCGCAAATTTGAATTTAAGGCTCGTTCTGCCTCAGAGCATTTCGTTGTCGAAATTCCAAAACAATTTTACAGCTGAATTTGAAGATCTTCTCAGCTACGGAATTCTGCTTCAACGATTTCTCTGAAATTTCTGTGGCATACCTATTACATCAAAAAAGAATTTTAAAAAATCCATGTTCGGGCTGCTAAAATTATTTTTGGTTCGAATGGTTCACGTCGTGCGACAAGGTGCTAGATCCATAGATCTTTTTACCACTCTGCCTCGCAACTATCCAGAAAGGTTTTGAAAAGTACGACTGCTGTTATAATTTACGAACAAAGCTTACGTTTGAGATACCTTTTCCCAAGACAGAGGTACTTCGCAAGTCCTGCTGCTACAAAGCACTAACATTGTGGAACTCTCTAGAGAGTCACAGAAGGGAAATATCGAAAGGACATTGAAAAGTCGGCTTTCTACGTAAATACTTTTAGGCTTTGAATTACTGTTAACAGTTTTTTTTGTGACTGTTGTAATGATTTTGACACTGAAAAGTCAGCCTTTTTATGTATGGGTAAATATTTTTACGCCTTGAATTTTATTGTAAATAGTGTTATTGATTGCTTTAACGATTTTTATAATATTTTCAGTTTAAACATGATCACATCAGCTCTGCTATACTTTTTAATCGTGTATAAATAATTAGCAGTTAATGAATGAGGCTGAGTAGGATATGAAGAATTAAGCAGATCGAGGACGGTGTTATCCACCTCGGCTTTTGGCCTCGGTGGATAAAACCCTCCGCCGAGATCTGCTTAATTCTTCATATCCAACGAAAGCCGAATTCATTAATTGCTTTATTATACATTCAAAATAATTCCTAGTTTAAAAACATAGCTAAAACGTGCTTACCTGCATCGATGTTAAGTTTATCTTCGATAGTGTACGTTTAGATTTGCCCAGCTTCGTAAATATTCTCCAATTAGCAGATGTCGCCCTCCGAGTTGTCTTGTTGCTGTTTTTGCTATGTTTGTAACCATTATTTCGCCTCGTTCCAGCTGTAGTTCTTACTCTTGAAACGAGTGAAGTGTCCGCCATTTTAGTTTTCACAACGAAAACAACTCAACCACGTCCCCAGGTCTTCTCGGTTAACGGTGCATTAACCTTTAGAGGGCTGCATTTTTGACGTCGTTTCCTCGTTAAACACAAAATCCTTCCAAATTTGGTCATCAGTAACAGGTTATGGTGAATTATGCGTGTGCTTTTAGCCAATCAGAATTGGGGAAAAGAGTTGATAAATCCTCTACTTTTGGAATACGGAAACTGTGAACTAAATCTGTCCAATATTTACCCAAAATGTTGATCAATGGAGTTCTGATTCCCTGTGTGGAAATGGGTGAATCATTTCGTTACTTAGGTCGCTTCTTTAACTTCGACATGTGTAACAACCAACACGTCTGAATTGTCCTCTCTTGTACAAGTCTTAATGAATGACATTGATATAAAGCCACTGCATCCTAAACAAAAACTTCTTCTGTATAGCCGCTATGTCCTATCTAAACTGTCCTGGCATTTCACTCTAGCTAATATACATGTATCCAAAACCTGGATAACGGAACATGTCGACTCTGTAGTGAATGGCTATATTCGGAAATGGCTTGATATTCCGATATCTGGAACACTGAGCAATGTTTTTCTAGAACGCAATAAATTTGGGCTTAATATTTGTCCTCCCTCTGTTAAATTTGATCAGTGCCAAACAGTTCTTCCAAATTCGTTAAAAGAGTCACAAAATGATTCCCTTAAAGATCTCTGGAAGTCGTTAGGCTGTCACACTAATATTCAATATGATGTGTTTAAATCACGCGATTTTCTTCGAAACGTAGGGTCCAATTAATGGCTGATTTCATAAAAAAAAAAAAATATTCACAACCAGTAAAATCGGATTACTTCTCATTGCTGCTGAATGATAGCTGTAGTTCATCTCAAAGTTTCGTAGCCATCGCGTCAAAACCGAAAACATTTTGACAAAAACAAACAGCTCAAAGTGCAAGACGCTCTTTCCAGCAGTGTTATTGGTTATCGGACGTTTAAAAAAAAACGTGGAAGGGTCTATTGAGTGCAACGCACAACAGTAAAAAGCGATGCAGATACACTACTTTAACCTCGACCTTCTCCAGTACAACCATCATACACCAACTCAAGAATTTATCGACACTCTATTTTCGCTTGCATTTATTCCTCTTATCTCCAATCCAACGCGCCTCACCTCTTATTCTGTAACTCTAATCGATAATATATTCACAAATAATCTTTCTCAAAATGTCTTAAATGGTGTTGTCCTAAACGATCTATCCGATCACTTACCAGTTTCTGCTTATTTTTCTGGCAAAACTCTGACGCGCGATGGAGAAAATAAAGTATTCATGTGCAAGATTACTGGCGAAAATTTGAGTAAATTCAACAAGAACGTTTCAAACACAAACTGGGCCTCATTTCTTGATGAAGATCCCAATATGGCTTACAACAATAATATAGATAAATACTCGAGAGTCTCCAATGCCTGCTTTCCTTTAAAGGTCATTAAAGGCAAGCTACTGAACAACCGCAGCTCTCCTTGGATCACCCCCGGACGTTTGAGATCTATTAACAAGAAAAACAGATTATGCAAAAAATTCATCAGATCTCCCTCATTATCTAATGAAACCTACAAAAACAAACTAAACCATTTAATTCGCATCGCAAAACGTAAATACTATGATACTAAGTTTGAGAGTGCCAAAAATGACCTTAGAACAACTTGGAAATTGCTTAATGAGGTTATAATTAAGCGTAAAAGTAAATCACCTTTGCCTTCATCATTTGCTTCGGAGGGTAAAACGATAACAGATCCTGTGGAAATTGCTGATAAATTCTGTAAATTTTTTACCAATATTGGTTCCTACCTAGCTAGAGCAATACGCAGCGTAAATTCCTCATTTAGTTCTTTTCTTGGTGCTGTTAACCATCCTCCTATCGCGCTGCAACCTACCAACCCCTGTGAACTGGAAAGCATTTGTAGCATGTTCGCCTCGGGGAAGGCTCCCGGCTATGACAGTATTTCAATGCGTGTAATTAAACACTCATTTCACCTGATGTCTGCACCTCTGGCCAACATCATCATCGAAACACCTTAACGGTAAAGCTCTACACAGTCTCCACTAAAGTACATCACATTTTTTTTCTAGGTTTCAGGGGAAGTGCAGGAAGCCAAAGAGAAACTTACAAAACTGGAAGAAAGAGCTAAGAGATTGGTGAGTGCTTAACACTTAAATAAAATGGTTAGTTGGTAACAAAAGGATGTTGCTTTCGATGCCATCTACAAAAAGTATTTAAAGTTACTAGTTGGGACTCGTGTACAAAGTACAACCAGCCACTTAAACCTACAGAATGCGTATATATACATATAACACCAGTATACATTTATAACTTAATGTTGTGACAACAAGACAAGAACAGCACAAGAAATGTTGACGCACCTCGTTTTCATTTCTATTTTGCGAACTCATCTAAAAGCTCGTCTTTTCCTGTGGAGCTGTCACATCAGTTTTGTGCATACAGAGACTGAACAGCAACTCAGCCTTTATACTGTTAATTATCCTTGTTTTCCTCCTTTAAAATGTTTTTTTGGTTCGTTTTAAAGAATCATACGTAAAGATTACGTGAAGGTCTTTTGAAAACTATTATTATTGTTTTGTTTATGTCAGGGAGAAGAACCAAATGGGGAATCGAAACCTGCAATTAGTGCTGCCGAACAAGCTGATCAACTTCAACAACAGGTGGATGAATTGACGGAAAAATTAGAAAATGCTCAGAGAGCACAAAAGCAGCTCTTTCTTATTGTTTTCCAGGTGAGAAAAAGATCGATACGCTTTTTCTTTTATTGAAAAGATAACCATCGCGGCCCCCCTCCCCAAAAAAATGCCATACAAAGTTACATTATGTTGCCCAGTATCCGGCCACTTCATTTTAATATTGTAATACCTTTCCTTTAGTTATTCAATGTCGCGCTGTTTTGTTTTTTCACTCGCTTGGGCCCCTCATAACGCTAACCTCAGAGTGAAGGACAAAAGTTGACCCCGTATTACTGTTAAAAAGAGGTTGACTTCTTATATGTTTTAACTCAATTGTGTTTATAAGAAAGAAAAGCTGAACTTGGGGCGAAAGAAGTACAGTCAACTCTCTCTAAGACGGACACCTTTGGGACCGGCAGTAGCTGACCGTCTTAGAGAGGTGTCGGTCTTAGAGAGAGTCAAATAGAGGGAGCAAAGAAAGGCAGGGACCAACTCTAGGTGTCCGTTTTACAGAGGTGTCCGTCTTATAGAGGTGTCCGTAAAGAGAGAGTCGACTGTAAGTTTCGAAACGGTTGTGCTTGCGTGCATGATAAAGCCAAGATTTGGAACATTCTCACACGTAGGCGGAGATGATTGACTGATTGATAAAGTTAACCTGCGTTAAACTACCTCACGAGGTGGTTTATAAAAACCTAACGTGGTTAAGAAAATCTATTGTTCTTGCTTTATTTGCATAACCCGGTTAAAACTTAGTTTAGACTGAAGACAACCCGGCCACACTCGCTGATATTTTAAACCAGTTAGCTTTAATTAGTTAATTGGAAATAACTCGGTTAAGTCCGTTGGTGCGGCCGCAGCCAATATGACGAAAAACAGTTTAATTTTTTCCCTTCGTTTCCATCGCGAAATTAATATTTTGCAGAGCTCCTATGTTGCCCAATATCCGGCCATAACAATAACAGAGTAATTGTACATAAATTTCGATAGGCAAGCGACTTATAAGCTTTTCTTGCACTTGCAAAGTAGTCTGGCAATCGATTTCTAAAATATAAATCGATCTGGGAACATAGCATCGTGAAATGAAACAAAACAAATGACTAGGATAAGGTGGGGAACGCGAGCGGCTGTTAAATGGTATAGTTCATACCTCCTTGTCTAGGAACTTTTTCACTGATTTAAGGTACGCATCTGTGGACAAGCCAAAGCAGCGGTTTACAAGCTCAATTAGCCGATATGCTAACCGGTTTCTTTTTCTTCATTTTTTGGTTTTAAAAAAAAAAACTGGCTAAGGGACCTCAATCCGACGGCCAAAGGTCACTCTCCTATTTAGTCTGACCTGCAGTGTTGATTTCTTCATGCTCAGTGCCCACATTTGGCCTGCTTTTCTAGCACTAATTCAGGGCCCGAAAATTGCGACTCACTGGTCGCCAATGCGACCAAAAATTGAGCACTGGCGACTAAATTTTCAGAACTGGTCGCCAGCTGGCGACTCGCGTTTTGTCCGATGACTAAAGAAAACCACGACACAACGTTTGTTTTTAAATCTTTATATTAGGAAATCAATCGGATATGGTAGCTAGTATACAAATCACTTTTTTGTCCCCAGTAAAATAATGTCTGAATATTACAAGATAATCGAAAAATTGAATGTATTTCGACACGTCGATACTGCGTTCACGGAGCCCCATATTGTTTCAGCGGCTTCTTCCGAAACTGGGATCGCAGGCGCACTTCACACCATGTGCTTTTCATTTGCCGCGAAAATTGCTGCATGTTTTTTAAGAGATGCCCAAAAAGTAGAATAATGTGTACCGTACACGGTAATATTTTAGTTGTAGTACACAAATATCTTTTAAAGGCTAGAAGATTTATTGTCATATAAAATTTACAGTAATGAGTTTGAAATTTATACGGGACCTTCACCAAGAAAACGGCCGGTACCCTTAACGTAGGGTAGTTTGGAGAACTTGTCACCTGCCGGTTGGAAGGCGGACACCGGCAAAACTGACTGAAACAGGGTGGTTAATAAATGGATATAACTATCACCACTAGAAAAAGTACCTGAGTGAATAGTTCTTAAAAACGTTTCGTTATACTTTAAGGTAAGGAGATAGCGATTCAATTCAAGCGGTGCTTCCGTAACTCCCGCAATATTTTAGGTTCTATTTTCCTAAAACGTTCTGTCTAAAATTAAACGAAGACCTAAAAACTGCACTAAGCCCATTTTCGTTTCCTCCCGGTCGGAGACTGGTACGAGCAATGTGGTTGTGTAGAGGCCTAGGCCAAGCATGGCGTTGTTTGTCGGCAGCGAAAGGCGTCGAGGAAAGCAAGTCGAAAATAAAGAACGGCATTTCATAGAAGTAGCAAGGGGCAAATACGCAAGGACCCGTGTTTGTCTCAGAATGAAAACCACGGACTTAAAATGTTTTATGCTTCGCTTTATTTAAAATGACTATGGAGAGAACCATCACCTTCGGACCAGAGACATATCACGTGAGAACAACGGTAGCTTTATAACTAAGTGTTACTCGTGTTGTTTCTAATTGTTTTCGCTCTTCAGTTGTGACTTTTCTTGCATGCAAAGTAACGTATAAATTCGTGTTCTTGTGTGAGTTATATATAAAATAAGTTGGCGACCAAAATTTACGATCTGGCTACCAAAATTTTTCCGTTAGTCGCCAGCTGGCTCCCGAACAAGAAAGTTAATTTCGAGCCCTGTAATTCCTCCTTCTTTCACTTATCTCAGTCCCTTTGAGACATTTTTCAGACCCTTTCAACCCCATTCTAGCCGTCACAACTGGGGAAAGTATAAGAATTCCTGGTTCAACTCCGACGCTTTCGGTTATATATAGAAATTAGTCACTCGAAAAAAGTCTTGCACACGAAATCAAGTCACCTCTGAACGAGTGAAGAAAATTTCCAAAAGGAGTTGAGTAGATTTACATTATACGATTAGATCATATATCCTAAGCTTTAATTACAGTTATAGATATGAAAAAAATCTTATCCAGATAATGTACGCAGCTAATTCATCGATTCTGTACAGCTTGAAAAAACTGGCCGATACTGGGCACCTGACATCAATGCTTAGTGAATGTTTCTGGCCTCCTTTATTCCAAACGAATTGAATTTCAAGAAGAACTAATAAATCTTCTGAGAAACTGACTTCTTTAAGTATCTTTAGTTTAAATATAAAACAGTTTCTTTGAAAATATCACATATTACCAACCCTTTTCTGAACAGCACTAGTTTTGCTGCGCAGTAAACAGCGTAAATGTTACCGATGAAAAGTTTACTCACCTATTTCACCTGACCTGAACGGTGCCTTCTGCGACTGTTTCGCAACCTGTCAACTAGCTCAAACTTTCATCTTAAAGCTGAAATGTTCAGCTTTCATTCGAAATACTTCGAGACCTGAAAAGGGCGCCTCAAAAATTGAGGTTTTTGTTTTAAGTGGCTGGATACTGGGCAACATACTGTACTTTTCTTACGAACATACTGTCAGGCACAATTTATGGGGGGGTCCAATGTGGCAATGATACTGACGTTTTAGCATGTGGTAGTTTGTCGACGAATATATCGCTGACGTCCAGTGTTGTGTGTATAAGCTAATCTTGAAGACGTGGAGTGAGCTTTACTAGAGGGTTATTTTGTAGGTATTTGCGGAAGATGTTTTCATTAAACATGGCCCTCAATGTAGGAGTCATTATATTTGGAGTAAGAATGCGTTGTACTTATAAGTATTCCCTAAGGTCACGTCCAACGTCCACCCGAATCTGGAGAGGTTAAAACCGCGTACGGTGGAACCTCAATATTACGAAAGGCCAAGGGACTGACAAAATATGTCATGTCATCGTTCGCTATGAGGTTGCGCTATATCGAGGTTCTTTTTCGAATATTTTGCTATTACTGGGGTTAGGAATATAGAGGTTCGTTAAATCGAGGTTCCACAGTACTTAATATGGATCTTAAGCATCGACAACGAAACGGACGACGACGACGCTTCGCAACCGAGGCAGAGTGGGCCAAGGGTTTCGTTTTCGGCGGGAAAACGAAGTTTAAGCAGTGCAGCTTCCCAGACAGACGACGAACTTTTCTTTGCGAAAAACTTTCTCTTGTTACAGTCTTGTTAAGGCGTTCAAATACTTCCGTAATTTGCATCTTAAAAGCTATGACGATGGTTTAATAGACGATGGCGAATGTATTGTTCTTTACGACCTGTATTATTCGATTTTGGAGGCTTCCTCTTGGTCGCATCGTTTTAAAGTTAAAACTCCAACAGCTCTTGACTTGCATTTACTCTAAATTTCGGCTGCTGAAGAGAATTCAGTGCTGCTACAATGTTCTCCCATACTTGTCCTCTCTCGGGGCTCCTCATAGCCACATCATGTTCCAGAGTCCACTGGAAAATAGTTGCCTTTACTCGCAGCTAAAACCAACATGGGAAATTGTTAAATTTTGGTACGAAAAAAATGAATCAACATTTATCCTTTTGTACAACCTAGAAAGCACGAATAAACATAGACCGTCGAGGGAACGAACATCATCTAATTTAACAGGTTCGGAAGATAGCAGAGGAAAGCTTACTTGTCTTTCCGACTGGTTGTTCCGCCATCACTCAGGTTTTCAGACAAACCGAACCTGAAAATTAATTCAAGATAGCAGGCGAAGAATTCGACAAAGTGGATTCTGCTAATCCACAAAGGATATATTTCGACTTGTACTGAATGACAAGGGGGAAAAAGAGCGATTTACAGGGAAAAAGTATGGTTTCATACTTACGTTTTAGCGACAACGGCAAACCTCGTCGACGAAGGCGTCGACGACGAAGGCTGGACGACGTTTTGACAACCTTAACGCATGCCCAGAACGTTTGCGCGGGAAAATTTTACTTCCGGTCGGCGTTGTCGATGCTTAAGATCCCTAATATTTGCGTCAACACCAATTTGGTGTGGTGTATCCGGTTTGGATTCTACACGAATACGCTACTGCGGTTTACATTTGCTAACTACTAGCGACCGGGCGTGCGCAAATCGGATCAGGGATGTGATCCGTATATCTTTCCTAGTTCCATTGCTTTTAACCAACAGTTCACACGTCTCAAGCAAAACTGTCCAAGAGAGATAAATGGGCAAACTAAGGCCGATTCATTCGTCTGGATCGACAATAAAGCCGATTTTTTGCTCAAAATAACCAGCCACTACAGTATATTGAAGCCAATGGCAAACGTCGACTGGCAGTTGATTCAATCCAAATATTCTCATATTCCATGTACTCGAAATTTTCAAAGCACAGTATCCTTGTAAAAAGAAGTTGTTGTCTGTTATTTTCAATTTGTAAGTTCCCATTTCAGCCGGGAACCCTAGTTTATGACGTAGCTGACCAAAATTTACCGGTTAGTAGTATAGTAGGGAATGGTTACTCCGATTTCTTACATTGGAATCTCACATACTTGCGGTTGTTGTGGTGGTGTCGTGGTGGAGGGAAAACATTAGAAGTATATACAGTAAAAACAAAAAAGGAAGGAGAGAAAGTGTTAAGTTGTTTTCCTTGGTAGAAAGAGCTAGGGTGGACTCATTTGCGAGTAAACTCACCTTAAGTATTCAATAGTAACATTTTTGTAACTCAACCAGAAAGGTGAGGTTACGCTTTCCATATTTCAAGAATTTTGTTTGCAGAGCGTAAAGCCCGATTTTCTCGAGGGCTAGTATGGTGATGACTGACTTCTTTCATGGTTGAGCCTGGTAAACTGAACTGCCCTTTTTGACAGTTCACGGTTAGTTTTAAGACGTTTGACGGTACTATTAAAACCCCATTAAGCTGAAGAGGGGTTCCCCTTCAGCCTGCAACTCTAATGAGCTGGCCATGGAAATTACTTGATTGAATCCTGAATTTCTTGGTGAATGGAAACTTTAACTAATTTTGCAAGAATAAAATATTTTTGGGCGCTGCAGTTGGTTTCGTGAAGTGCAACTTGCTTATCAGTTGTCATTAAACGAATTTCACCTATAGAGAGACTACAAATTGAATTCACCTGAAATCGGCAAGTTCCACTTCCGCAAAACTTCTGCTAACTCGGAAAACCCCATTATGTCGACTTCTTTGATTTCTTTGTTTTACGTCACCCGTGAGTTTAAAATAGCACATGACGTTATCTTAAAATATTCCCCCGCATTTTGTTCGTGAGATAAAGAAGTCATTGACGTTAATGTCTTCCTGCGCAATTTAATGACTAGCCTGCGTTCCAGCCGGTCCACACATCGTCCAAGCTATTTGTATAGACCCTCTATATAGAAGATTTAGAGTGTCTGCGACTCAGGCTATTTAAAGAGGTTCCTGCGCATTTTATTCAAAAGACTGTGACAACATAGACGTTAATGTAAGTTCCACCACAAGTTAATGAGATTCCATTGCAAAAAAAATAACTCCGGTTTCAGTAGTCTACAAGAATTCGCCAAACCCGTCGGATCCAAATAAATCCACCACGGAAGTGGGTTTTAAAAGACGCTCTTTAGGTGAGCGGATTCACGGAAGGCCGATTCCTACAAAAAGGTATGCGGTTTCAAAATTATCCGTATTCGGGTGGACGTGGTCTAATACAGGTCTTTTAACCTTCTCTAGGGAATTTTCCTTTCGTCATTTTTAAACACATGCTCGTAAATAAGACGAAATCTGATAGCAACCTTTCTTCTAGAGTAATGTCAAATCCCTCTAGATTAGGAAGCAAAACAGTCCGTTCACGGTTACACCTGAAGTTTAATTGCCGAAAGTGCTGATTTTTAGGTGTACATAGACATGTGACTAATATACTGAATGAATTTCAGCGTTTTATTATGATCCTGACTGAACACATTGTTCGTTCAGAACAACAACAGTTAGATGTAAACACACCGTGGTTCAAGTACACCACAGAAAGACTTCGAGAAGTATTAATCACGGTATGTTGGTTTATCATTTTACGCGCTTGAACACAATTTCTCAGGCCTCAAATGTAATAAATATCCCTAAATGTAATAAAGGTGCTAAAAGTAATAACTTTTGACCCTAAATTTAATGAAGGTCCTAAATGTAAGAAATTTTGGCCCTAAATGAAAAAACGTCCCAAATGTATAAAGGCTTGGTTAGTATGGTAGCTAGGCTTGTGTGTGCAAAATACACTTCAAATGGAGATATGTACGTTGGTACTTCTTTTTGGTTCCTTTTTTAAAATCCTCTGGTTTTCAGCCAGTCCTTTCGCCTAATAAAGACCTTTCTTCCCGCCAGTTTTAAAGAATCATACTCCAACTTGGAACTTACAGCACGAACATGAGCGCATTGACTTCTATTTTTGTTGAAACTGGGGATGGTATGGTCGGCTGTATACTAATCTTACTTGCAATTTACGAAAACGTCCTTAAAGAGCTCCTTGAAATTCAGAACCTTTGTCACTTTGCAGTGCAAGATCAGAGGGGGTCCTTTTCTATGTATAGTTCTTTAACTCAGCCGCAACTGCTTTGGTATTTTTACTTTAAACACTTCAAAGACAAATGAACCTACTGCAAACATTCAGAACGGACATTAGACATTGATAAACAATCCTTGATCTGAAATTTAATTCTTCCACGCTTTCCAAGATCGAACAGCCCTACTTGGTGTCTCACTTGCACAAATATGACTTACACAAAGTTGAGTGTTTCATACTACTTCTTGAGTGGTTAGTTTTCCATCAGGCTGGGATTTAACAAGGCCAGGAACTGTTGGGTTTGTTTAGAAGTCTGATCTGGTTTCAGAGAAATTTTGCCAAGACTATCATGATAATTTAAGAATTTGTTGTTTGCTGCTTTCCTTTTAATCCACCATATCCACTTTGCACAGTTAAGTAATACTACATATGGTTTACCGCAACCATTTGATGCCTAAGCCTTGTTCTCAGTTTCTCTTGGGAAACCTGTAATACCCATGAAAAACTGGAAACACTGGTTATGCAAAATGTTGGAAAGTTAGCACAGTGCATTATGGGCAATGTGAAATTCTTAAATGTCTATAAAGACTTCAATATGGTATAAAAAGTAAATCGCCTGGCTATGACATTAAAGTCACTTCGACTTTATAAAGTTTACGGCCAAGAGTTATTCTACCACTGTTAGGATTTTTGTTATATTTAGGGCCAAAATGTATTACATTTAGGACCTTTATTACACTTAGGGTCGTTTATTACATTTTAGGCCTCAACAGCCTTTGCTCACCTCCCCAACCCCCTATTTTTGACACAAAAAAAGTCAGCCAACCAATCACAGTTAGGTTTGAGCCTGGGCTTTCTGCTGACACATAGAAAGACGCCAACTCCCCCGGTTTTTTTCGCCTACACTGGCTTGAACACGAGCTAACACGGGTGATGCCATTATCAAGCGAAAACGTAGCAGGCGCCTTTTAGCAAAATCGCATAGGTATATATAAAACATTTGACATTCTGGCATAACCTTTACTTTAAATCTTTCCAAAATGCTAGAAGGATAACATTCGCCGTTAACCATGAAAGACATGAAATGCGAGGGAAAAAAGTATAAGTAATCTTTACTTTTAAAGATTACCATAGTTAACGAAAGTAAAAAATGAGGGAAAAATCAGTGGCCATTTGAATAAGAGAAGACAAAGTTTAACAAACAATTACAAAACTCAGAGCAAAACAATATCAAGCTAATCCAATATTTGGTTTGAATTGCTTGAACTTTATCAGCGATGTAAAATGAGGTTCATTTACTAACAGAAAGATTGTCGGGTATTCCCAGAAGAGGATTGTAAATGGCCATGGCCGAGAGATACAGTCTCTCTTCACTCTTCAGAGAGGGTTTTCTTTGTTTGATGGCGATGACCTCTTTGACGCAGCGCGTGATTTTCGGCAGTTGAAGCAACGGCATCGCCGACATATCTTCGTCACTGAATTTGTTAAAAACACTCTCTTTAGGTTGTATACCATAATCAAAGTCACTTTCGCAACCCTTTCATTTCGAGTCATTGTTAAATAATTTGTCCTCAAGTGCCAACTTCAGATTCGGAAGAGACAATAATGACAGGATTGAAAGTTATTCAGTTCTTACGAAAGTAATTTCCCACGCAGTTTTCTTTGTTTATCATTTTCGCGCGCCCTCGCAAAAATTGCGTGCCTGTATGGTGCAATTAGCAGCATTTTTCATTATTAATGGACAAGTTGTTTAGTTAGTTAGCAAGTCTATGACTCCGGATTTTACGTCATGAAATGCATTTAGTAGCTACTACTTGATTCTTACATATGTTGTCTGCGTTTTCATTTCAGAATTTGGAAAAAGTTTTTCAGTACTTGAGCTCACTTGAAACGCTTCTGTTCACTTCCGATCTGGATCCGCGAATTTTGAGCCTTTTTAACCATTTTAAAGCTTTAAGATCTTAAACTTTAGTCAGCTGTAAAAGAAATTTATGTTGTGTCTTTGAAAGAGACAGGTTTTAGATGTGACTAATATCCTTGTGATTTCATTACAAAGTGTCTTATCAACAAGCGACAAAATTGTATCAAGAGCTACATATTAAATGTCTGAGTTAGTGCCAATTTTAAGGTCTTTAAAACCAAGCCAATCTTAAAACCGGGCCCATTGCTTGGTCCTGTGGTGCTAGAGGGGTATTTTACCGGATAGACAGAAATCGTCTTGGTATGTGCCCTGTTGCGAATGGGATAATCTTTTGCAGCAACTTAACTTTAATGACTAACAGGGATCTTCTTTTAAATTCTGGTCCTTTCCTTTTTCAATGAATCCCATCGTAGCGACAATAACTGGTACAGTCTCTGTCTTCATTCCCCACATTTTGGTGATAAGTCCAGTCATTTTGTGGTTGGACCCGGAACTAGTTGCAACAGAAACTTTCTCTTCACCAATCATTTAGGATTAGACTATAGATAAACTTAATAAAGTCACAAAAGATTCGAGCATGGGAACATTGCCAAATTTAATAGCGGAGCTCCACGCGCGCGAAGCGCGCGCGTGGGTGGAGCCCCATTGCTAAGTAAATCTACCCATCCCAGAAAATTTGGTAATCACGTGACCGTACAACGACCGACCGACCGCCGTCAGTCCGCACCACAGGAAAACCAATGTTTACTCTCACACTTTTAGCTACTTTGGGAGCCCAAGAGAAAACTAATTGCACAGGCTGCACATCAATGTTGTGATCAATTGACAGCTATCAAAACAGGGCATCCGCTGACAAGTATCACCTGACCGTACCACGGGCTCAAGTGTCGACCCATCGAGGTCGAGTATTTTTTTTAAATTTATCCGCTGACAAATTACCAGTTTCAAATGATCGCAGGCTCAAGTTTATTTTTTCCAAGGATTCATATCAAATATGTTGTGTTTATGTCACTATGGCCCCGCACTATTAGGATTTTTATTTCAAACTGACCTCGGAAGCGAAAATTCATCCAGTTTTTTTTAAAGTACGGGTGGGGAAGACCATATCTTACCATGGTCACGCGTTGGTCACGCTCTACGTCCAATTTTTATACTCTGATTGGTCAAAATGCAGCATCTCGAAAGTAGTTTACTTTGACAGCTGAAGCTGACAGACTTTTGTGTCAACTTGTGATGTTTTTAACTGTCTTTTTCCTCTGGAGGTACAAAATGAAATACAGCTGCTATCAAGAGTCTTCTGTTATTCATGGCTGGTTTGTTTACTGGGTTTTGGTTGAGAAATGCGTCGCTTGTCAAAATTCGGTAATTCGATTTCGGATGGCATCGTTTTCGTTTTTCACCTTGCTTAATGCGTAAGAGGGTTTAAAAGTCTTAAGCAACTGTGGCCTCCCTTGATAGCTTTCAGGAACTGAATCTCGAATGGTAAGCCTAAGTAATTATTGTATTTGATGTTTGTGTTTCATGAAGTCTTGCACAGTTCACGCTGACAGTTTATGCGGCAAGTTTATGCACGTTTGCAGGATTTGAGTCAATGATCTGACCTAGTATCAGGTTTGATATAAGCTTACAGAACTTTAAAAAGCCTTCAGATATATTTGCTCACCACAAATAGAAAGAAAACGTTCCGAAGGATATTTAGTTATAATTTTGGCTGTAGAAAGAAAACTTTGAGCGATTTTCTTGCTTCGAGGAGTTCACCTTCGAAAACAGTAAACACCGCGCTGGGAAGCCTGCTAAAACATAAACTTAAGCTTTATGCTTTAAGACTCAGGATTTTTAGAGACACTTTAATACTTGTCTTCATGAATGAAAATTGTTGTCTCTGTAAATGTTTCACGGAATTATATCTCTTTTTTTGATTGTTAGTAGTCTCTCTTGCAATTTTAATCGCTTGTCCGTGCCATTTGTTTTCATCGTTCATGACCATCGCTTGCAGGAGTACTCAAAAATGTCGCGCGTATCAAACGCTTTATAAGATTACACATCGTTATAACTGAAACCATTAAATAACAAAACAAATAATAATAAATTCGCTATTATGTTGAAGCGTAACTCTGTTAATGTTCATTCAAACACTCGACCACACTGACAGCTCGCACTATAGAAACGAGAACCAGCTGACCGTATGGGCGATTTTGGAAATTTTCTGAAATTTTTGAACGGTTTGGCTCGTCCTGAATATTGACTGAGGGCAATTTGTCTAGAAAAATTGTGAAATACCGCATTCTGTCCGAGCTCTGTATGATAAATAGTACTGTTTCACCTCAAATGTGGTGTATAAAAATTATAAAAGGTTGGTTTAAACACCCCCAGATTTGTTGGCAAGAATTTGTAAAGTAAACCTGTCGAACGCAAAAAAAATTGCCGTGATTTGTTTTCCAAGAATTTGTTTTCGAGGCCTAATCTACTTTGATCTTGAATGTGATCGAAGATGTTTGCTATTTTTTGGGTGTACATATAAGGCTATCAATTCGATTTAAGATGTTTTACTCTAAAATAACTTAGCCTTATCCTCAAAAGTCACATGAATGTGCCCTTAAGTTAAATGATTTGTGGATTAAAAATTTATTGTTTGATTTAAATTATAAATTTATTAAAATTGGAGCTTCGCTTTTAGCCTTGGCTAAATCTATATATTATACACTTAATGTCAGATCCCGAGGGAAACAGTTAGTTTTGTTTTCCCGAGAGTCCTGGTGTTTGCCAAGACGAAGTCGAGGGAAACATCAGGACTCGAGGGAAAACAAAACTAACTGATTTCCCGAGGGACCTGTCATTAAGTTGTTTTGTTATATTTCTAGACTTTCACTTCCACGGCGACAAAAGAATAACCGGAGCGAATCAGAACAGTCGACTTGATACTTATGTAGGAACGCAAATTTAATTCTCGAAACCTCTGAATGAATGATTTACAAAGTACTTTCCTTGTAATATCTGCATCGTTTTTCTCCACTAGCTGCTGTTTCCATTCAGAGATTAAGAATTGTTGCTTTTTAGCTTGAGGCTTCATGTTTGTGTTGTTGTGTTCGTTCACGAAAAAGAAAACTGGCAGGACCTGGCAGTGTTTTCCCACCTTCTGTCACGCCATTGTCCACCATGCTTTGATCACGTGCTGTGATGTATCCCGAGCGGGGTACAATTGCTCAAATGTATCGCTATTGGGATACATTTGATTTTTGTCAAGGCCATTTGACTAAGAATCAACCAATGTTAGTCCCTGTTTAGTTGAGTGAAAGTCTAGAAGTACAACAACCTCCGTTACTACGGGCATTTTTAGTCCCCCTGGGACCACGTCTCAGATTTCTTCCTCCCCCTGTAGCTTCAACAAGATGTAGGCTACGACAAAAAGAATCAGAAAGTCAACAGTTGACACGGAAGTCTGTTAATTCAAAATGGGTCGTAATAACTACATGTCACTTGGTAATATGTAGATTTAGCCAGGGCTAAAAACCTCGCTCCAGCTATTTGATTTATAATTTGAATCAAACAATTAACCATCCTCGGAGACCCAGGGGCAGTCAGTCAGGTCGGGAGGAAGGGCGGGACGAAAGTTTTCAAGTAAGGGCGAAAGAGCCCCTGGGCACCGACTCTCACCGGACCATTTCCAAAAATTCAAGCGGATGCCGGCTCCTGATTGGGCACATAAAATGCTTTGTGTTATGGTGCCCAATCGGCGAACACATCTCAATGAGTTCTTTTCGTGTGTTCGTACATGACGGCTATGGTCTCGATCACGGCTTGTCTAGCGTCTTACTAGGTTATGCACCAAAGAAATGCACGCAGTCAGGAAACTTTCAGTTTGATATGAAATCCCCATCTGATTCAACTCGCTTACTTTGTAATCTCTTTGTCAAATGCAAGCGAACTCTTCTGGAGCTGAATATCCAAGTTCATGAAGAGAATGAATTTTGTTTTTGCTTGTTTACGTCCTTCACAAAACGTGAAATTAGGCATTTTCACGGGTAGTCGTGCAGTTGACGGCAGAGAAATGTACAAAAAAGCATGATGCACGTGGAAAGTTGTTGTTTTGCCTTGTCAAGCTATTACTTATTTGAATTTCTCATCGCCGCTGCATCTTAATTGTGATCCGTCAAAAACAGAATATTCTCAGGGCAAATTCAATTGCTCTTGCTGATAGTAACCCAAACGTTTTTTTCAGCTCATCGGTAGTTCCTTTGTTTCTGGTTAGGAAAGTTGAAAATAAAAGTTTTCCTTGTACGCAGAAGCTTGGTGAACGAACCGGGCAAGTGTGGCGAGACAATAGCCGTCGTGTACGAACTCACGAAAAGAACTCAGGAGAAACTGTTCGCCGATTGGGCACAATAATACAAAGCATTT